CCTCCAGCACAAACCAGGAGGCAGTGGCTGTGGGCTGAGTGCCAGCTTGCTGTCCAGGACATGCTTCGCAGCTGACCAAGCCATCCAGATGTGCCTGCTTTCCAGTTGTTGGCTGCCTAACTACCAGGCAGGTACTGGTCTGGCGCCAAACCCTTCTCTTCCCCGAGCTTCGTTAGGCTTCATGTCGTTATTTACCAGCCAGAGAGCTACATCATGCTTTGGGCCATATATTGCTCAACTCTGATTTACATCAGCGCCGTGTCTGAGCGGTGTATTGATGTCACCTGCATTAGAGCTGGGTGGCTCTTGTCCCCTCTAGTAGCTGGCAGCAGAAAGAATTACAGGTTTGCAGCTGGCTTTGTGTGTAAAATTTGCTGTCCTTCCTCTTAAGGTGGGTAGGAGCCAAAAACCTAATTCCAAGAGGAATTCTGTCACTCCAAATGCTTAAATAGCATCAGAGAATCATTTTCAGACTCCGGGTCTGCAAGAAGCATGAAGTTATTAGGCATCAGCGGGCAGGAGGCTTTTTTCCCTGGAATGAACACCTGTGGAATGTTTGCTGCCAAATGCCTGGTGTGATCTCAAGTGGGTGCTAACGGGGCAAGGTCAGCCATCAATCTGGTCGTGGTTGCTCCCGTGACAACGTGATCAGCTCCTCTGACGTAGGGTTGTCCCCTTCTCGTTAGGTTGCCAACCACACTATGGACAACCTGCAAATGTTTCACGTCTGACCATGAAGGCACAGGCAAAAATCTTTTAACTACGTGGGGTATTTTTGTCTTTAACTGTAATCTGGAGTTTTCACCTTTTCAAAAATAACCAACATCCAGGCAATTATTCAGTTGCATTACGGCATATTTTCTGTATGTATATTGTTTCAGCAACTATTTTTATAGCTTTTGCCATAGTTCAACCTCTCTTACTCCCCAGTACATCTCATTAGACTGCAGCAGCTTCCGTCACATGTTACCTTAGAAATCAGTGTCAGGCACTGGAGATTTCAGATTTCAGTCAAAATTTTTTTCAACTACTGTTGTTTCTAAATATCCTTTTCCATTTAAAACTTGGGCTTTTTACGTGTTTCTGGGTTTGAAGACATACCAGAAATAAAAAACCTGAATTCTGTCTGAATCTTCCGTGTCTTCTGAAATATCCTGCCTTTCTGGTGAGCGTGACAATAATACGAACTGAATTAAATCCCCATGTCTTCCTCTAATTCTGGGTCATGTAGTCAGTTCATAGAATCATAGAAAAGATGCTTATGCCTTTCACCCTACCTCTTAGACGCTTCCCTTTTGAGGGTTGTCTTTGCAGGTAGACCAAGGAGAGAAATCACAGAATCACAGAATGCTATGGGGTTGGAAGGGACCTCTGGAGATCATCTAGTCCAACCCCCTGCCAAAGCAGGTCCACCCAGAGCAGGTCCCACAGGAATGTGTCCAGGTGGGGTTTGAATGTCTCCAGAGAAGGAGACTCCACCACCTCTCTGGGCAGCCTCTTCCAGGGCTCTGCCACCCTCGCAGGAGAGAAGTTCCTCCTCATGTTTAGATGGAACTTCTTATTTACAGGTTTGTGCCCATTTCATCTTGTCCTGTCACCAGGCACCACTGAAAAGAGACTGGCCCCATCTTCCTGACACCCACCCTTTCAGTATTTATAGGTGTTGATCAGATCCCCCCTCAGCCTTCTCTTCTCCAGACTAAACAGATCCAAGTCCCTCAGCCTTTCCTCCTAAGAGAGATGCTCCAGGCCCCTCATCATCTTTGTAGCCTCTGCTGTCCCCTCTCCAGCAGTTCCCTGTCCTTCTGGAACTGGGGAGCCCAGAACTGGACCCAGTGCTCCAGATCCTTTTTAATATCTGTTATTCTTTCATCAAACTATGATCCTGAGCTGTAAATGAATCCATATGGATTAGATCTGGGAGTCCTGTGGTAGTAGGACAGTAGACCCCTGTATTGCCCATCTCCTAGCTCTGTTCAGAGGTAATGGCACCTGCCTGTCTGTAGTCCTTCAAGAGGCACCCCAGTGCTTGTGCCCACAGGTCTGGGAGCTGTGCTGCACGACGGGACCTGAAGTCCTCTGTGCCTCTGTCTTTCTGTAACTTGGACCTAGTGGCTATTTTCTCCATGTGCATTTGTGAAGTGGTATTGGGTTCCTCCCACGATTGGGCTCCTTAGGCAATCAAAATACTGCTAACAAAGGAAAACGTGCAGAAATGTCGAATTCCTGTTTTCCAGTTGCCAGATTTCCTGCAACCAGGAAGACAAGTAGGGAATATGAAAGTGCTGGCGTTTTTTCTTGTGTTTTTATTGAATTGGATACTTAGATGTTTTGAACAAATTCAAAGCAAAATATATTGCCGTCCTTCAGGACTTGAAAAAACCACTTCAGAGTCGAAAAAACTCAGCAGTCTTTTAAGATGGAACTGTGAAGCAGGGAACAAGAGCAGCGGTTATTTCAGCCAGCTTTCTTCCTGCTTTTATTTTCCTTTGCTTGATTCTTGTTACTTCTCTCCCTGCTAATCACACTTCCGAAATATGTGATGTTAATATTTTTAATCACCGTATCCATAATACAATGTTGTATTGAAAATAGACAAAAGTTCTCTATTTCCTCTTATTATTTTCACTGACAGTGGTTTTAATCCCCTTTCCTCATCAGAATAGAAAACTGTAAAATGTTGAGTCTCGAACTGCCTTTGTCTAGAAAGGGCTCTGTTCCTAAGGAATACCTTTCTAGATAAAAATGTGCTTAAAATTGAATCAGGATTGTAGAATACTGTTTGCAGTCTTCATCAAGCAGACTCAGAAGCCAATACAGTTCACAGAGACTTGGAATGGGGGTGAAGAGAAGTGGGACAATGAGCATCTGAGCAAGGATGACTTGCTTTCAACATCATTAACTGTTAGAAATTCTCATTATTTTAAACGGGAGAATGAGCATCCGAGCAAGGATTAACTGTTAGAAATTCTCATTATTTTAAATATGAAAGTGAGTAAGAGCTGATCAGGTTTTCCAGCAGAGTGTTTTTCTATCAGAAAGCAACGATTTGTTTTGGAAAAAGCCTAAATGACATCTTCAGACCTTTTTAGAAGATAGATTTATGTCAAGAATGGAAGGATAGGAAAGTTTTAAAAAAAACACAGTTAAATTAAGGTGGTTTAACAGGATGTTGTAGTCCTTAGAATAAAAGTTTGGAAATGTAACGTTGAGCATCAGCATCTCTCTTAAGATCTGTATCTAAGTTGTATTAAAAAGTGAATCTATGTAAAGGCATTCCCACAGGGTCTCCCGTCTCAGGCAGTGTGTTTCTGAGCTCTGCAGTGGGAGGCAAACTGGGAAATACTTGTGTTTCTGAGGGTGCCAGCAGATGGGCTGCTACAGTCAGTTTGGAGTAGTCAGAGAAGCTGCTGCACATCTGCTGTTAGCTACTTGCTTTTCATTACTGAATCACAGAATCACAAAATGCTATGGGGTTGGAAGGGACCTCTGGAGATCATCTAGTCCAACCCCCTGCCAGAGCAGGGCCACCCAGAGCAGGTCCCACAGGAACGTGTCCAGGTGGGTTTGAATGTCTCCAGAGAAGGAGACTCCACCACCTCTCTGGGCAGCCCAATCCAGTGTTTTGCCACCCTCAAAGTGAAGAAGTTCCTCCTCATGTTTAGGTGGAACTTCTTATGTTCAAGTTTGTGCCCATTTCTTCTTGTCCTGTCCCTGGGCACCACTGAAAAAAGACTGGCCCCATCCTCCTGACACCCTCCCTTTAAGTATTTATAGGCATTCATCAGATCCCCCCTCAGCCTTCTCTTCTCCAGACTAAAAAGACCCGAGTCCCTCAGCCTTTCCTCCTAAGAGAGATGCTCCAGGCCCCTCATCATCTTCATAGCCCTCTGCTGTCCCCTTTCCAGCAGTTCCCTGTCCTTCTGGAACTGGGGAGCCCAGAACTGGTCCCAGTGCTCCAGATGGGGCCTCCCCAGGGCAGAGCAGAGGGGCAGGATGACCTCCCTCCACCTGCTGCTCACACTCTTCCTGATGCCCCCCAGGATGCCATGGGCCTTCTTGGCCACAAGGGCTCATTGTGGCCAAGAAGGTGTTGAAGGTGTTACCTTGGCCTGGAAGTGATTACAACAGATTTTAGCTCAGTTCCTGTAGTAAATTCTAGCTGGTGGGGCTGTATCATCCCAAAGTCCTCCACCTTGACTGCAGGAAGACTATGGTGTATGACATAGAACCACGTCAGGAGTAGTTGGATTGTTATGTTGTGTTGGTACCCTGATTTGACTATGGTGTATGACATACAACCAGATCAGGAGTAGTTTAAATTAAGGAAGTTGGATTGTTATGTTGTGTTGGTACCCTGCGTTAGCATAGTGGAGCTTGTAAATGTAATATTTTCTGGTCTGTATCTAAGCCCAAGGTATTTGTTTCCAGTGTGGAAAACATTGCAGTGTCTCTGTCCAGGTTCTTTACATTTCTGCTACATTGAAGCATGGCCTGTGAAGATCTGGGGTTGAAAAGGGAGAAGGTGTGTGTTGGAGGGTGTAACAGAGGACAGAAACAGCCAGAGCAGACAGATGCAAAGTCAAAGTTACGGTTCTACAAAATACTTTTCTTTTACATTTTAAAGCTTTCTAAAATTTTGACATCTTTTATGGTATTTTAACAATTTCCTAATTTATCAGGTGCTTTAGACATTTATGCCTCTAGTTTCTGAGTTTGAGGGTTTCATCATCTGTTTAAATGCCTGAAAGAGTACAAGGGGATTTACTGTGAAGTGTAACATACCCTTCTTTTAAGGTCTATATGTCATTGCAAGTGCTTGTGCTTCCCCTGTACGAGCCATTTACTTGCATGTTGCAGGTAGCTTCCGCATGAAGGGTGGTAAGAAACATTCCTACACCTATTATTGCAGTTTATGCTTTGATTATAATGGTTAAAATTTTCAGCTGATTTCGCAGTAAAAGCGTTAATTTGTTTCTGTTAAATTTAATCCTTTCCAGGGTGAAGTTGTGGAGTTCCTTGATGAGCTGTTAGAAGTAGAGGAGAAGAAGGAATCCTGATGAGTGGAATCACCGAGAAGCGTTTCACAGGAGCGAAGCCTCGCCGTTGCTCCCTCCTATTGTTACTGGTCGCCTGTAGTTCCGGGTAGATATACCTCAAAAGCTGCTCCTTTCAGGTTTGCCTTATGTCACAAGATCCACTCCTAAGAGGTCACTTCCGTGCCGCGCTGGCTCTTCCCTGAGCGTGGCGTTTCGCTGTGCGTTTACAGAATTGGTGCTTGAGGGTTTTCCTCCTGAGCTTTCTTCCCTTTGCACAAACACAACCAAGCAGACTGATTTCTATTTTCCAGGCTAACACTAATGTTCCTCGTTTCAGTGGTGTTCTACTTAAGTTATAACAGTCTGGCTAAAATTCTGAAGAATTTTTGTCGGATTATGAACCATGGAAGACATGCCGGTTCCTTTAGACTTTCTGAGCTATGTATTGTATTATTTATATATCTGTGATGATGAATGAAGTGATGCTGAACCCCAGTACACCTGAAAGATGTTAAGACACATTTAAATAGCTGAAGTAAGATGAGGAGCAAAGCACAACTAGAGCTCTTGTAAAACTTGCTTGAAGAATCCTGTAAGTGGCGTTGGATCTTTCTTAAAAGCTGAATGAAATTCCATGATGTGAAACTGAGGTCACTTAGAACTGAGTAATAAAGAATTCCTTCTTCTTACCAATCCTTAGTCTCTCTATTGAAACAACTTGTGGTTCCTGTGTGAGGCAGGACCAGTCTTGTATAAAATAGTGATGGTCAATGTATTTAACTTCTGTAGAGAACAGTTTGCATGTTTTTTTCTGTCTTGAGGGACTATCTGCAGAGTTTTCATCCAGAAGTAAGTGCAGCTGGAGAACGAGGCAATTTTGAGTGGAATCGTGAAAAATATTTGCAGGTCAATTCCTGACATTTTTATTAACTGTGTGGCAGAGTTTTATACAGAAGTACTTTGAAGGCCCAGAAATTACAGTGTTAGAGATGAGCAGTGAATTGCTGCACAAGAACACTGAAGAGCAGAAATCCCCTTGACCTTAGAGGAGGATCCAGGATTTCATCCTTTGCTTTCCTCTTTCCATTTTAAGGATAAAGTCCTGCAAAAGGTTTCATCCCGCTCACATCAGGGGAAGAACATTCAGTGCCTTAATGACTGAACCCTAATTCAGCTGAATGGAAGTGAGTTTCAAACCCAAAATCTGCTTTAGGTTTTTTAAAATGCAATATGTGATCTCTGCTACCTTGCTGAGTTATTGCTGCTCTGGCTTCTGGGTGCTGTACAAGTGTTGTGTCTACACTATTAAGTGTCTACAGAGAGCAAAAGGGGAATTCACAGGATCAGGTTTAAGTGTCCTCTTCCATCACAGCTAATCTGCTGAAGTTGATGATGATTTTATTCTCAAAATTAAAATCTATCAAGAACCTTTTTAACTTCAGGAGATTTACCCAGCTCCACTTGTGATAATACGACCAGACTCTGGCCTGCTTGTATGCCTTGAACATACAGAGGATGTGTCAGATTTCCTTATGCTTTTTGTTCCACACAATATTAGCACTCCACTTACTGTAATTTTATGTAAGAATTTAACTTTTAAAATTTTAGCATTTAAAATTTAGCTTTTAAAACTTACAAGCAGTTGATTGTCAACTATCACTTACTTCCCCATGAAATACATGTATTACAATACCCAGCTGGGGGAGCTTCTCCAGTTTGTCCCTAGTTTTCTCTTGCTGGAGGTGTGTGTGTATGTTCTGGAGGCCTCTTCTGTCCCTCAGCTTTCCAACCTGCATAGGGCAATACCAGATTTCCTCCTCAGGAACTGCACCACTGATGCTAAGGTCGTGTGCCCAAATAACATCATCTTTGATACTGGAGCTTTCGCATCCAGAAATTCCACCATTAGAGGGCATGGAGTTAATTGGGGGTGGATGGATCTATCTAGGTTGCCTTCGTTTTCCAGCATTTTTAGTTTACTTTTCTTCTTATTGCCATTTACCAAACTGGCTTAGGAGCCCTGACTGTTGTTTGGCTACTTGTTTTTGTGGTGCCCTAGCCCTTGCATGCTGCCTGTGGGTACTGCAATGCGAAACCTCAAAAGTGCCTATAATTTGAGTTCCTGAACCTGAGTTTTCCATAACTACATCCCATGTGGCAATAACACGTCTGCACAGAGCTTCTAATCAGAGTGTGCCTGTTGGTGATAGCAGGGACAAGGTGATGCAGAATCAGTCCCAGGATCTCTTTGGTTTGCCACCCAGAATTATTTCTCTCCAGTTGAAGAACTCCCCCTCCAGCAGACACGGTCAGAGATGGCTATAGGCCTGAGTTTTCCGTAACTCTACATCCTGTGTGGCAATAACACGTCTGCACAGAGCTTCTAATCAGAGTGTGCCTGTTGGTGATAGCAGGGACAAGGTGATGCAGAATCAGTCCCAGGATCTCTTTGGTTTGCCACCCAGAATTATTTCTCTCCAGTTGAAGAACTCCCCCTCCAGCAGACACGGTCAGAGATGGCTATAATCTTTTTCTAAAGATTATAAAGTGCGTGGTAAAATATTGTAATATTTGCATTCCACCAGTAAAACACCGAGCACCAGTGAACCTGTCTTGTGATTCCTTTGACTGCAACGGGCTACACTGGGGATTCGTTCAGCGCCTGTGAGCCCTAATTTTCCCTCTTCATCAAACAGTTATTCATCCATTGCAAGTCTCTGGGGTGTTATCAATTTTCTGCCAAGCTTGTGAGTCTGCCTTTAGGGGGCTTCCTGAGCTGATCTCTTTTCATGTTCACTCATTTCCTCTGTTCTCCACCTCACAGCTAAAATCCCCTGCCATTGTGCCTTCTCAGGTGGGGATCTCATCATTTACTAAGATGTCCATTAGCCAATGATTTATTTTTCTTAAGCCTGCATGAAGTAAGCCTGATGTTCTTTACCGTTCCATTTAACTTGAGGAGGCAACTGATACTCTTGTGGCCTCCTGAAACGGCACTGTGATCCCTTTTGCATTTTGTTCAAGTGTCTGTGGATTGTTTCTGGCTTTTCCTAATTTCCACTACATATGCTCCCAAGCCAGTTCAATCTTAATAAGTACAAGTAGTTCTCAAACCTTTGTTCTTTCCTAATGAGAAATAGCTCCTCTTCCAGTTCTTCAGTATTTATTGTGGCTTTTTTCAGCATTCTCAGGTTCTTTTAACTGATTTTTCTTTTTCTGCTGCTGTTGTTAAACGCCAGCATTTACATGTGACTGCAATAAATTAGTGCCTTTTCTTCCATTTCTCCGGCGCTGCCAGCTCTTCTTGGGAGGCTGCAGGAATATGGTTCTTGCCTCCCCTCTGCCACCCCAAATTATTGTGAGTCGTTTGCCTCCGAAGTTACCAGCTTCTGCCTGACCCGATGGGATGTTTAGATTTTGTCTCCATTTCTGTTTCTTGACAAGGCTTCAAACAGGACGCTGGTGCTCAGGAGAACGTCCTTTTCATGGAGCCACCATGTTCCTGTGACGGACTCAAACACAGCATCGGTACCACGTGTCTCCTGTCACAAGGCTGACCCTGCAGACAAAATTCTTATGAACCTTGGTGGAGTACTGCTTGTTGGGGAGCTGTATGATTACACTTTTGAATAATGGCTCACATTTCTAGTAGCAGAGCTGGCTCTTTGGGTAGATGCTGCTCTTGGTCTCTGATCCTCCGTTGCTGCCCACAAAATTTTGAGCCTGTTGCTTGGTCACTGTGTATAGGTGACCAGGGGTGAAGTCCACCTCCTGGCAGATGGCTTGGATAAGGGTCTGCAGGCAGGGCGAGTCGTGTGTGTGGTCTCCTGGTGGGTAGGGTCCTGTGTGATGGGGAGACACCTGGAAGCTGAAGATGAAACCGAGTCACAAATGCCCCTGCGCTGAAGCGGGTATGTCCCTGCTCATGGCTGGGGGTTTGGAACTAGAAGATCCTTCAGGTCCCTTCCAACCTAAACCATTCCGTGCTTCTGGGATATTTGGTTATGTGAAAAACAAGACGGCTGGCTGGCAGGACTCTCTTTCTTCAGCAAAAACCAAAGTCTGGGCAAGGGAAGAGATTCACCGGCTGGAAATCGGGGTATCTGACAGACTGTGTGCTAAATACCCAATTTTTTTCAAATTAATACCTGCTCTTACTGATAGGGATTCTTCACGTGTTACTGGCTTCTTACTAATTCATCCTCATAAAGAGCCATATTTATTAGAAGAGGAAGAAGCGTGGCAGTGATTTTTCTGCTCAAAGTTTAATTCCCTTCCCGTAAAACAGCGTCGCCCACTCCACGCTTCTGCGTCTCGGCAATCCCGATAGCCAGCAAAGTCAGCTACCAAAAACAAATACTTTCAGAATGATCGGTTCTGGCAAATTGGACGGGAAGTCAGATGTCCTGCTGGGCTCTTTTCATTCGCTGCAGCGCTCCTGCAAGCAGACCTTCATTAGTTCTGTTGACAATGCAGGAGCCAAAAGCAAATTCAAAATTGCTCCATTTTCCAGAGCTTTACTGCTTTGGAATGCTAAAGTATAAACCAAAAAGTTAGTCGGATGCTGTTCTCAATTCACCTGGAAAGCCCGTCCAACCATTTTTTCAGCCTTGCCAGAATAATTTCGAGGTGGAATTAAAGGCAGGTCTCCTCAAGACAAGCTTTTCCTCTGGAAATCCTGTGGCCCGGCCCGTTTTGTGAAGCTTTTCCTCCACGCACCCTTGCGAGTGATGTCCCCCGTGGATCTCCATGTCCTTTACAGTGAATTGTTGGTTTCTATTGATAAGGAAAGCAGACTTGGAAAATCTTTCCATTTCTAGAGAGCCTTCCTGAAAAAGGGTTTCGATAGCATGCAAATTTTACAGCTCTGAAAACGGCGTTGTGATTAGACAAAGATTTGTTGGATTATAAAAGCACAAGTGTTTATTATGGCTGGTCCTGAGAATAAACAGTTGCCTGCATCTGCCAGCTACTATGGAAATATGTTTTTTAACTTCTAATGTGAGCTGTAAACCAAAGCTACTTCAGTTAAAAAAATTCAATACTTAAACTGTGGGGAGAAGCAGGCAGTGCCAGAGAAAACATTCCCATTTAATAATGTTTGAACATAGAGCTGTGATGCAGTTTGTAGCAAGGCAGTGAGAAAAACCCACAACTAATCCTTCATTGCAGCTGTCTGAGCTTTTGGTTGTCTGCCATGCTTTAAACAGCCACTTCTTTTTTCTGGTGGACTCAAGGCTTGAATGACCCAGTGTGGAGAGTTTAAGGTACATACAAAAAAGAAGTTAAGTAAGAAATAGCCAAAGTAAGTTGGGTCGCACACCCCAGCACATCAGCGTTTTGTATCTTAAAGTCCTCTTCAGTGCCCAGGAAAAAATATTAAAATAAATAGATACCTATTTATTTATTTATTTTTGGCAAGGAAATATGCGGTGGTTTTGACACCCATCTCTCTTCCCTCCCCTCTTCTCTCCCTTTAGAGGACCAATGATGTATGGAAACTAAATTCTATACAGAGTTCTGAATTGTTTAAGTTTATAAATGCTAACCTTTTCGGTAGAAAAACTTTCTCAGTTTTCTCTGATTATTTTTAACTTTTTCTTCCCTTTGATGTCCCTTTCGGGGAGGCTTTTTAAGCAGCATGAAGTAACAAATCTGCTTTTTTCCTGATTGATTCTTTTGCGAAGTAATGA